ATATATATATATTTAATATATAATATATAAATTTAATGTATTTTTTTTTCAGCTTTTAAATTTATTTCCTTTTTTTTTATTTTTAAAATATAGATAGATATATATTTAATATATAATATATATATCTAATATATTATATTTAATATATAATATATATATTTAATATATATTTATTTCAGTTTCTTAAAATATATATAGATATATATTTAATATATAGTTTATTTTTGTTTTTTTAGTTTATTTAATATATAGTTTATTTTAGTTTACTTAAATAATATATAATTAAAAAATGTATAAATATTATCAATTTAAATTAATTAATTTCATATATATTATTATATATATGATTAATGAAAAAATATTAATAATATATTATTAAGAAACAAATATATTACTATTAAAATATATTAATATGTATTCTAATTATTAGTTTAAAAATTTTTATTTAGACTAATGAGTATGTTGCCGAGTTTGAGAGTTCTGGACTCCGACACACATCCACTCGTAATGTGAATGCTTCCGCTCGGCGGGAGAGGGAACGGATGCGCCTTCATGCTCGCAGGGTACAGACTGCTCAGGCTGGTAGTTCGAGACATCATGTTCCTCCGATACAGAGTGGTCAGCAGTCTGGCCCACTCATGCCTGGCAGTTGGAGTGGTCAGCAATCCTTGTCAGTGATGCCTAGCAGTTCTGGACGTTTCCCGACTACACGTATTGTTCATCGGCGGGACTCCATTGAATCGACAGTCAGGAGTCCGAGGGATGATGATGATGATGATTACGATGACGACGACAAGCAGGCCTATGATGATGACGAGCAAACATATGATGATGACGAGCATGCTTATGATGACTTTGAAAAATTAGCTACAACATAAATCCGCACTGATTTATAGCATATGACTAAAAAATTAGCTTATATGATTCGTAAATTAATTGATAAGCTAGTAGAAATAAAAATTTCAATGAACTTATTTGAAAAACTACCCAACAAAACTTATGAAATAAGTTCGAGTTTAAAAAAAAAACACGTCCTACAAAACCAAATGTATTTAAATATAGAAAGTTTATAACTAATCAAATAAGCCTAGATTATACATAATCTAAACAATTCTTTCAAACTAATCGTAAGAACACAATAATAATAAAATTTGAGCCATTATCCATGCCAATTATATTATTTATATATTATTCTTTAGAAAAATCACACCATAGTGGTTTATGCTGAGATAATTTCAAAGATTTTGTTAAACACTACACTCCTATAGACCTATTTAGCTAGAAATTTGTTTAAGAAAACAACAACCACTAATTAACAATGAGAGAAAACAAGTTGTTTTGTGGTTTAGCAGCATAATTGTCCTAATAATAATTACATTACTCATAGTACATATACATATGCACAAGATTGTCAAAATTCAATACTATGATTTTATAGACCTAAACCTACTTTCTATAAAATTAAATTTAAGCATTATATTCATCAAGTTGTAACATATATTATTCAGCAAAGTACAATAAAGTTTGATAGCACATTGTACTAGACTATAGCTTCCTTGACATTTATCATTAACATCCAACCATTTTTTCTTCTCTTATCCAGATCATAATAATAACTGAGCTTGCAGTAAATTATAAGTAAAGGCTCAATTATAATTACAAATATACCCATGATGATAATAATAATAATAATAATAATAATATTAATAATAATAATATAAAAAAAATCTCTGCATTTCCCTCGAGAAATGAAGATGTAAAATTTTAATTTGCCACTAGTCTCCATTTCTCGTCAATTTCTCGCCAATTTCTCGGCTACCTTCGCCAGCGACTCCAGATTGCACCGGATGATGGTGTCGACGAAGGCGCACGTCTCCTCTGCCGTGTTCCCCGGCGGCACGTCCACCACGTACGACTCCACCACCACCGTGCCCTCACCCCCCTCCGCCGCGTGGAGGGTGGTTACCGACCGGTAGTTCCTCAGCCGGTGCTCTCCTCCGACCACGCTGAAGCCCACCGCGTGCTCCTCCTCGTCCAGAACCTCCAGCCTCTCGGTGCTCCCCGCCGCCGGCAGCCCCGACGCCACCGTCACCTCCCGGATGGTCCCCACGCCGCCGTCGCCGCGAACCACGCGGCACCCCCGTACGAACACCTTGTACGCCTGCGGCTCGCCGAACCGCCGCAGGAGTGACCACACGGCGGCCGCCGGCGCGGAAACGGACTGCACCGCCGCCGAGCAGCACTGGCCCGGCGTGACCGCGTGGGTGTGGCGGCGAAGGACGGACTCCGGAGCCCCCGCGTCCGCCGGGACGGGGCAGATGCGGATCGGCTTAGCCGGCGGCACCGGCGCGGCGCGGTTGATGGGGTAGATCCGGTGAAGCTGAACAATAGAGGCCATTTTTTATTTTCCTTTTTTGTTTTAGTTTTTTATTTTATGCTCTGACCAAGAAAATATGAGAATGAGTTGTGATGGGGATATGGGCGGTGTTGTAAGAAAAAAATTGTAGGTGGTGTACACATATATATATAGAGAGAGAAAATCGACAGATGTTTTTGTGTAGTTTTTAATTTTTATTGGAATTTGTGATGAAAACAAAAATAAGTGTTGGATAAGATCTCATTGTTAATCATTCGTTTGTTAATCTAGTTCGAATGAAAAATTTAGGGGGTGATTGGATATGAATTCAACTAGTAAAAAACTAGTTTTTTTTTTAACTATAGTTAAGTTTGAAAAAAGTAATATGGTTAGTTGTTAGTGGATATATTAAAATAATAAATAATTAAAGTTGATTTGATATAAAAGTAGGAGAAATGATTAGAAGTGATGGTTAGTTAAAATTATGTGAGTGGGTGAATAGTGAATTAAAGTTGATGTGATGTGTAATAATAATTGTTTGATATTATTTAAATATATTGATAATATTGAAGATAGTGGAGTTGAGTTAAAG